GGTCCTTTTGGCTCCCGACCATCCCCCCAGGGTTCAGCGGTCTTGTAAATTGGCTGTTTACTGATGTCAGGGTGCTCAGTGCATGCTCCACAGACAGGAACAGTCCACCGCTGGACCGTAGGGGAGCATGGTTTTCTGTAGGACCATCAGGTCATGCGAGTATGAGCTTAGTTCTTACCCCTAGAAAAAACGAGCAGCCGATTCATGCAGTGAGGGCACAGCCCCAATGCATGATAAAAAATAAATAAATAAAAATAACTGGAGTTCTGCTTTAATTTAAACACACTGACCTACACAAAAGACACATGCACATATCTGCTGCACATGTGAGCAAAAAGTGAAAGCATCTAAAGTTATCCTAGGGGTGCATAACTTAAATTACCATGGCAGCTCTTGGGCCTGCCTCCATACAACACCAATTAAATTATCTGAATGAAACGTGCCATTCTATATGGGTTTCCTCTGGTTTCTTCCTATAATTCCTATGCTTGACTCCATGAAAGACACACACTGTAATGATCACCAACAAGTCAAACAACTGTATGCAGTCTAGAATAAATGCAAATATGTAATTAATAAGCAATAACCGATGACTATGTCTCTCTATCCCAATGGAAGAAAAAAAATCCTTATTTATTTCAGATTTGTGATAAAGTGAGACTTGGAGATGCCTCCATTTTTAAAAAGATTCTACTCTGCTTTACAATGATTTAGTGGTACTCCTTTACCATAACCAGTCTGGTTTTATTTCCTACCATAACCCAAAGTGAAAATGTAACATATTGCAGCTTATCAATCCAAATTAGTCAAATTAGTTTTCCTTTTAAAGTTATTAACTTTTATTTTCACCTGGTGATCCAGCCAGTAATACACTTTCTATTTTAGGGTCTTGTGGATGGAGGAGCAAAGCAAGCACCTTTCGGCCATCAGCAATGTCAATCTGGGTAGAGGGTAGTGTTAGATAAACTGGCAGATTTAGCTGGATTTGACTAACATTTTAAACTGGAACGCCCATCTAAGACTTTTAAAAGCAGTTACAAGTTTTTTGTTTTCCTTTTGAGGTAGAGGATTTACATAACTCAAGATGGCCATGGTAAGCACCCTTTCGGTGTTAAAGTGTTACTAAACCCACAACAATAAAATCAGTCTGTATAGGCAGTGAACCATGCTGGTTATACTCACTGTCCCCAATCCATCTGATGTGATTGGCACAGGGCCAATCAGCGCTGTCCGACAGAGGGTCAGGGGTTATGCAACCTCATAGGACAGTCATAGGAGAATGAAAACTCCTCCTACAAGATTAGCCAGTGCTCAGCCAGGCACTGACAGAAATCACAAGTCTGCTATATACTGCTGATGAGGAAAGGTATTTAGCAGTTTATATTTACAAAACTAATTGCAGTTCCATGCTCTGTGTGTAATGTGGAAGACGGGATATAGTGAATACAGGATCATGGGTTTAGTAACACTTTAATGGTTTGTCTCAACCCTCTAACTGCCACTTTTGCTGGACAGTTTGAGGAAGTTGAAAAGTGAAAAGTAACAGACTTGCTAAAATAAATCTTTTGGGTTTTTTTTTTGTTTTGTTTTGTTTCTGAGGGACGGGGAGGAAGATACAACACCAAACACATTCATTATATGTAGAGGTGGATACACTATTACTTGAAGGCTGCTGCTTCTTTAACTCACTTTCATTCAGGGATTCCTTCCCTGAGTGGCTATCTTCCTACACTTTGGGCATCAGCTAGTTTGAATCATCGCTGCTAGTTTGAAAGGTTGCACCACTCGCCTGCCCCCTTCTGCCTTTTCCACTGTACACATTACTATTTTCCCACAATACATTGCATTCTGTGAATGGAGGGGAAGCAGTGGAATGACAGGCTTTTCACTACCTGTTCACAAAATGTGCTGCATGATAGGAGTATATTCCAACGTTTGTGAATGGTGGAGAGGGCAGGAGGGGGCGGGTAGGCGATGCAACTTTTCAGACTCACAGTGCTGGAAGACAGCCGCTTAGGGGAATATTCAGAAGGTATGAATAAAGCACTGAAGGGAGGATTTTTACCAGAAGCAGGCCCCCTGTAAGAAAATCAAGAAAAAAAAAAACAAAGACAAAAAAGTATCAATAGCAAAATATTTTACAAAAAAGCTAAAGCCCTGGTGGGAATTTTACTCACAACCGCAAAATTGCCAAACCACTGTGCTAAACAATGAGCCAGTGTGCATTATTTCAGTATCATATTTACATATAAAAACCTAAAATGCAGCGCTATAAAGTATTAAATAACCAAAGTGCTAGTAAATAAAGTGACAATAATGACAAACTGAATGTGAGGCATTCTGGGATTAGCGCCAAAGTGAATAATGATGCATATGTGTCACGCTAAATGACAGCGAGGAAGTGATATCAAAGAGTTAATATAAAGTGACAATAGTGAACAGTCCAATATAAAATAAATAAATGAATGAATGAAATCGTCCAGATGAATATCAAACGTCCACATGCCCTCAACATGGGGGGGGGGGGGGGGGTGCTTTGGGGCAGGGCCCCCAAATCACTTGTCCCCATGTTGACAAGGGCCTCTTCCCCACTATACTGGCTGGTGGTGCTCGCTCGTCCCCCACACTTCCTTGACCTGCCGGGCTGCATGCTCGAATAAGGATCTGGTATGGATTTTTGAGGGGGACCCCCGCGCCCTTTTCTTTTTTAAATTTTGGCATGGGAGTTCCCCTCAAAATCAATACCAGACCCAAAGGGCTTGGTATGGATGGGAAGGGGGGACCCCACGCCATTTATTTCTTCAAATTGCCGGAAATTCTTTTACATTCAGCTGTCAGTGGGCAACCCCGCTGACAGCTGAAACATTAACACATGGTTGACACTACTAAAATACCACATGACTTGATAAAATAACTCATGCGGTATTTTAGTACCGTTTACTTTTTTCTGACCTCCAGAATGGATGCATTGGTTTTCAATGCATTCCTATGAGAAACGGCGTTTCGGTTTACAAATTTTTCGCTATAAGAAAAGTCGCGCAGAACAAATTCAATTCGTAAACCGAGGTATGCCTGTACTGTATGAGGCTGCAATATATTAATTTTTTTTCTTTTGGATTTAGATATTGCTTAAAAAGATGGTACCACAAAAAAACAATTTTACATCTCACCACTAAGTATAACCTATGCTGATATGAGCTAGATTTATTAATTGCTGTAGGTTATGTGCTAATGTGTTATTTTCAAACAGAGCCATCCTGCCTATTCACAAACCCAGCCATTCTGAGAGCAAATGTCCCTGCACAGCAGCTGCAATCAGGTTGCCAGCAGCTGAAGGAGCTTGGCGCTCTTAATATGTATTACATATTTTTTCTTATTGCTTCAGTTCAGAGGACAGTGAGGTAAAATATAGGTTAGCTACAGAAGAAAGTTTAGATTTGCTTATAGCATTAGTTTGTTGTACTATAAAACACACTAGTAGAAATAAAAATATATACAGTGCTCAGCATAAATGAGTACACCCCAAAAGATTTGTCAGAAAAACTTTACTTTCCTTTCAGAATCAACATTTTCTATGGGACACTATACTACAAAATACTCCCACAAATGCAGGCACCATTGATTACAAGCAAGATTTGTTCATTTGCACACACAAAAAAGTATTTTTCCTAACAAATTTATTTAAGACCATGTTGCAAAAATGAATACACCACAATGAAAGTCATCAGAGCAAAGCTAAATTGTAGACAAAATGCTAAGTAACAAACAGGTGTGCAGCAGACAGTTGATCATAAAAGGGCATTACTTAAAGAAACACCCTTCCCATTTCATGCTGTCAGCAATGGCACCACATGGAAAAGAAATGTCACAAGGCCTGAGAAAGAAAATAATTTCTTTACATAAGAAAGGTGAAGGCTACGAGAAGATCAGCAAAGCTTTACTTATCAGTCAGAATACTGTAGCAAAAGTGATACAAATATTTAATAAAGATGGAACTGCAACCATCCCGCAGAGACATCCAGGCTGTCCACGGTTAACACCTCGACAGGAGTGTCTTCTGATTAAAAAGGTTGAGGGGAAAAAAAAAAAAAACGCCATGCAAGTTCACTGCAGTTAGCTAAAGCAGTAGAAAGACAAACTGGGGTGATTGTTTCCCGTGACACAATATGGTGCACACTGCAGAGGAATGGCATGCATGGGTGTCGTCCATGAAGGAAGCCTCTCCTAAAGCCCATGCATAAAAAAAGCGCACCTAGAATTTGCCAGGGCCCATGCTGAAAAAGAAGACTACTGGGACTCTGTACTCTAGAGTGATGAGACCAAGATAAATGATTTTGGAACTGATGGCTTCAAAACTGTATGGCGTCGCAAAGGTGAGGAGTGCAAAGAAAAATGCATGGTGCCTACAGTGAAACATGGTGGTGGCAGTGTCCCTCTGTGGGGTTGCATGAGTGCTGCTGGTGTTGGGGAGCTATTTCATTGATAGTATCATGAATTCACAAATGTACTGCTCTAAATTGAAAGAGAAGATGCTACCATCACTCCATGTGCTTGGTCATTGTGCACTTTTCCAACATGACAATGTTCCAAAACACACATCTAAGGCCACATTTTTTTTATTTCTGTAGTAGAACAGGGTGAAAGTGATTCAGTGGCCAAGTATGTCTTCTGATGTGAACCCAATCAAACACCTATGGGGAATTCGGAAGAGGCAAGTTGAGCATCACTCTCCATCCAGCATCCCGGCTCTAAAAGTGGTCGTTCTTGAAGAATGGAAAAAGATAGATGTGGCAATGTCACAAACTTGTTCATTCAATGCCCAGAAGACTTGGTACTGGCCTTACAAATCATGGAGGTCATACAAAATACTAGATATAGTGGTTTTTGTTACCGGGTGTAATCATTTTTGCATCAACTAATTTGAGTAAAACTGAAGATTTTGTAATCTAAGTTATATTATTAATCTTTCTTTAATGTCAACATTTTGGAAATTGTCCTTGTGTTCATTGAGATATTGATTAAAGTCTTACTTTTAAAAAGGGGAAGTACGCATTTATGCTAAATATATATATATATATATATATATATATATTTTGCCAAAAGTTTTGGGACACATTAGATTCAGGTGTTCCTATCACCTCCATGGCCACATGGGTATAAAATAAAGCACCTAGGCATGCAGAGTGCTTCTATAAACATTTGTGAAAGAATGGGTCTCTCTCAGGAGCTCTGTGAATTCAAGCGAGGTACCATAACAGGTTGCCACCTGTGCAATAAGTCCATCCATGAAATTTCCTTGCTACTAAATATTCCACGGTCAACTGTTAGTGATATTATAACAAAGTGGAAGCAACTGGGACCAACAGCAACTCAGCCATGAAGTGGTAGGCAGCATAAAATGATTGGGCGGGATCAGCACATGCTGAAGCGCACAGTGTGCAGAAGTCGCCAACTGTCTGCAGAGTGATAGTTAAAGACCTCCAAACTTTGTTTGGCATTCAGATTAGCAGAACAGTGCATAGAGAGCTTCATGGAATGGGTTTCCACAGCTGAGCAGCTGCATCCAAGCCTTACATCACCAAGTGCAATTGCAAAGCGTCAGATGCAGTGGTGTAAAGCACACCGCCACGGAACTCTAGAGCAGTGGAGACATTTTCTCTGGAGTGATGAATCACGCTTCTCTGTGTGGCAATTCGATGCATCTATCTGGGTTTGCAGTTGCCAGGATAATGGTACTGGCCTGTCTGCATTGTGCCAAGTGTAATGTTTGTTGGAGGGGGATTCTGGTGTGGGGTTGTTTGTCAGGGGTTGGGCTTGGCCCCTTCGTTCCAGTGAAGGGAACTCTTAAGGCATCAGCACATGACATTTTGGACAATTTTATGCTCTCAACTTTGTGGGAACAGTTTGGGGATGGCATCTTCCTTTTCCAACATGACTGCGCACCAGTCACAAAGCAAGGTCCATAAAGACATGGACGAGCAAATTTGGGATGGAGGAACTTAACTGGCCTGCAAAGAGTCCTGACCTTATCCTTTGGGATAAATTAGAGTGGAGACTGCGAGCCAGGCCTTCTCATTTGACATCAATGCCTGACCTCACAAATGCGCTTCTGGAAGAATGGTCAAATATTCCCATAGACACACTCCTAAACATTGTGGACAGCCTTCCCAGAACAGTTGAAGCAGTTTTAGCTGCAAAGGGTGGACTAACTCAATATTGAACCCTACAGACTAAGACTGGGATGCCATTAAAGTTAATGTGCATGCAAAGGCAGGCGTCCCAATACATTGGGCAATAGAGTGTATATAGATTGATTATTATGTGTTATTTTTTTTGTTAGCAAAATATGTGCCCCACTCTAGTCATAGCATTGCTACAATATATCAGTATATCAAATGTAAATTGTTCTGACCTGAGCAACTTCTTCAAAGTCTTCATGACGTTTCTGCAAAGCTCTTGCTCGGTGAAGAGATTTTCCTACACCAGTGTGCTTACTCAGAAATGCTTCACCATGATTTTCAATCCAATCCAACACCTATAATATTAAAAAAAAAAAAAAAAAATGCGTAAACAGATTTCTAACAAGATTATACTTATAATATGCCTAAGATATACACTTTCTGGCCATTATCAAGGTACCCTAAAACGTTTTTGGCATTTATCCCATGGGGAGATTTTCCCTAACTTCTGTCCTGCAGACACAATAAAAATCTCATTAAAATTGAGATACATTCATTCTTAAGACTGTTTTCACCAGAACGGGTGTCCCTATTAGTTTCCAATTAGCAACTGTTTCAGTGGCAACTTAAAAGTTTTCGTATCCGCTTACTTTCAGTCTCAGTTACATTGTCACTATAACAGAGGGTGAATCTACCCAGCGGGGACAGAGATAATTTAAACCCAGAAGAGATTCCAACCCATCAATACACTATCAAAAAAAAAAAAAAAAAAGGTTTTGGGAATTTAAAAAGGTACCAGAATTCACAAAACCTCACTACAAAGTAATTAACGCTTTAGAAGTGGCGGCTCCCCGTCATTGAGAAGAAGGGGACTATAAAAATACTGAGGCAATAATGCTGAGAATGGGAAAGGAAATGCTAGGCGGTGTCAAGCTTTACGAGGGTATAATTACCTGCAGGTGACGCATTACCCAACAAGTCTTATGTCTTGTGATATACAGGTGAAACTCAAAAAATTAGAATATCGTGCAAAAGTTAATTTATTTCAGTAATGCAACTTAAAAGGTGAAACTAATATATGAGATAGACTCATTACATGCAAAGCAAGATAGTTCAAGCCGTGATTTGTCATAATTGTGGTGATTATGGCTTACAGCTCATGAAAACCCCAAATCCACAATCTCAGAAAAATTGAATATTGTGAAAAGGTGCAATATTCTCGTCTCAAAGTGTCCTACTCTAATCAGCTAATTAAGCCATAACACCTACAAAGGGTTCCTGAGCCTTTAAATGGTTCAGTAGGAATCACAATCATGGGAAAGACTGCTGACTTGACAGTTGTGCAGAAAACCATCATTGACACCCTCCATAAGGAGGGAAAGCCTCAAAATGGAATTGCAAAAGAAGTTGGATGTTCCCAAAGTGCTGTATCAAAGCACATTAATAGAAAGTTATGTGGAAGGGAAAAGTGTGGAAGAAAAAGGAGCACAAGCAGCAGGGATGACCGCAGCCTGGAGAGGATTGTCAGGAAAAGGCCATTCAAAAGTGTTGGGGACTTTCACAAGGAGTGGACTGCGGCTGGAGTCAGTGCAGCAAGAGCCACCACACACAGACAGATCCTGGACATGGGCTTCAAATGTCGTATTCCTCTTGTCAAGCCGCTCCTGAACAACAAACAACGTCAGAAGCGTCTTACCTGGGCTAAAGAAAAACAGACCTTGTCTGTTGCTCAGTGGTCCAAAGTCCTCTTTTCTGATGAGAGTAACTTTTGCATCTCATTTGGAAACCAAGGACCCAGAGTATGGAGGAAGAATGGAGAGGCACACACTACAAGATGCTTGAAGTCCAGTGTGAAGTTTCCACAGTCTGTGTTGATTTGGGGAGCCATGGCAACTGCTGGTGTTGGTCCACTGTGATTCATTAAGTCCAGGGTCAAAGCAACCGTCTACCAGGAGATTTTGGAGCACTTCATGCTTCCTTCCGCAGATGAGCTTTATGGGGATGCTGGCTTCATTTTCCAGCAGGACGTGGCACCTGCCCACACTGCTAAAACCTAGTTCAATGACCGTGGGATTACTGTGCTTGATTGGCCAGCAAACTCGCCTGACCTGAACCCCATAGAGAATCTATGGGGCATTGCCAGGAGAAAGATGAGAGACATGAGACCGAACAGTGCAGAAAAGCTGAAGGCCGCTATTGAAGCATCCTGGTCTTCCATAACACCTCAGCAGTGCCACAGGCTGATAGCTTCCATGCCACGCCTCATTGAGGCAGTAATTGCTGCAAAAGGGACCCAAACCAAGTACAGAGTACATATTCTTGCCTATACTTTTCAGAGGTCCGATATTGTTCTATGTACAATCCTGGTTTTATTGATTGCATGTAATATTCTCATTTTCTGAGATTGTGGATTTGGGGTTTTCATGAGCTGTAAGCCATAATCATCACAATTATGACAAATCATGGCTTGAACTATCTTACTTTTCATGTAATAAGTCTATCTCCTATATGAGTTTCACCTTTTAGGTTGCATTTCTGAAATAAACTTTTGCACGATATTCAAATTTTTCAAGTTTCACCTGTATGTAATGCAGGACATAAATGGGTCGAATTCCGAACAAATTTTCTTAAAAAAATTGTAACCGAAAAATTTCTTTTCAATTTCGCACCATTAGTGGGCCGCAGCATTGGCCAATTTTCATGCGGCCATTGAATTTCAGTGATTTGGCATGTTGGAAATTTTTTGAAAAACGAACTAATTTCTAATCAATGATGGAAGAATCATATGAGAAATATAATCGAAAAAGAAACGAACACGAGCTGTGATCTGGAAAGAAAAGAAGATTTCCAGCCACAAAAACTCTTTTCTGTAGCAACACGAGGTGAAATTGAATGCTTGGTTGGTAGAATTTTTAAATCAATGGTGACCCCATCGGATTACAAAATTTCTGATTCGACAGTGCCTGTGTTTTGTCATTATACCCTGTTCTAGATTTAGTTCTACAGGTATCCCCCCCCCCCCCCCCCCCCTACAGAAGGCAAAGGGGAGATGTGCTATAAATAATTGGTGCAAATTTTGCTGTTATCCTATCCTAATGATTCAAATGCACATTTATTTTCAGCTTATTCCACCATTATATTTCAAATATTGATTTTTTTTTTTTTCTGTAGGTGCTAAAAAAAAAACAAACAAAAAAAAAAAAAAACACAGCTTCCTATTCTATTACAGAGACAGGACAGCATTATGATAGAGAACATGTCATTAAAAATACTTTCTTATGGGACAACAAAATATGAGTGGATTCATAATCTTTAGGGAACCAAGCCACCAGAGTAATCTTAGAATGCGGTTTTAAACATTACAACTGCTTTCTAAATCTAAAGCATATTATAATTTTACAGCGAGTGCTAATGGTTTGAAAGTTGCAGCATTTTAAAGATGGATATTCACACATACTGTACCTCTTGCAGGTCCTTCTACTTTAAATTTCTTGGTCATTTTCAAAAGACATCACATTCCTTTGATTTCTATGAGCTCATAAAACACTGAGACTCAAACATGATATTTTCAGACTAATAAAGAGCAGAGCAGTGTTGCATTACCAGACAGCTCCCAGGCTGCATGTCATATTACTAGAGAGTGATCCATTGGTGCCATCACAGCCCCATTAAAAAGGTGGGTGATGCTAGAACATTCCTCTATACTTGCTGCCCTGGTGTTTTGAAAAGGTTCTCACTCAAGTAAAAGTCTATCCCACTGTGGGACATATGTAAGAATTTCTTTCCAAGGGAAGATACAGTATTTCTCCCACATCCCCCTACCACCGCTCTCCCCAATAGTTGGGAATCCATCCTTCCCTTCTGGTTTGGATGATCCTGACTTCAGAGATCTGATCCATGTGATTGTCTATGGAGACCAGGACTTCACCGCCTCTCAAGAGTGGCCCTCACAAGAAAACATGCTGAAGGATTCTCATCTGCCCTCTTTAGGCTTCTGAAGGACAGCAAAACTATCACACACTATCCAATCCATGATTCCTGAAGACAAATATACGGGACCTCCTAAATGGTTTGGGAGGGAAGGTGAGAAAAAGATTTCTCTCAGGCACACAGTCTCTCTAAAATAAAACTCGCTGAATTCACCACTCAAAAACTGTTCCTCTTTACCTAACAAAGTGGGGACACAATTTTCAGTTAACTCTAGAAACAGGAATAAAATAATATACTACATGCATAAAACTTTGTTTTGTGAACAATCTCGCTGTTCCCAGCAACAGATATTCTGCACACA